CCCCCCCGCCACTCCTTCCTTCTTTCATCTCTACAGCTGCGCCTGCAGCCGCTGCTCAGAAATGAGAGCTGCCCGCAGATGTTCCTCGGGGCGAGCCCGGCGGCAGGCCGGCGCGGGGGCCTGGACGCCACCATCGGGGGCCTCGGGGTGGCCGGCTGAGCCTCCTGGGCCCGGCCTGGTTTGGGGGCTGCTGCCCGGGCCCACCCCCCATGACCTCGTTCCCAGGTGCCTATCATAAGCTTGGCAGGGCTCCAGCCAGACGGGCGCGTGGGTCTGGCCCTCTGGACCCCCTGCCTGCCAGCCCACCCCTCCCCCCGCCTCTCCAGCTCCTCGTTTGTCCTCGGCCGGGCTGGGAAGGTGCCATCTGGCCCAGCCGCCTTCAGGCAGGGCTTTGTCCTGCCGAGTGTTGAAGGGGGCTTCTGGGGACGGCGTTGAGCTGGGGCTGGTGCGTTCGGGGCCCCTCCCCTGGGACAGGGGCTGCCTGGGGCCCCTCACTCTGCTGTTTGATTCAGCAAACAGTGCCGGAAGCGCGAGGAAGCGTGTGGTGGCCTGGAGTTGCCTGGAGCTTGTCCCCAGATTTTGTCCTTAAATCGAGGTCCCCTCAAGGACTTCACTGTCCTGGGCTGACGGTGGAAGCCCTTGGCTGCCGTCTTCCTCCTACTGCGGCCTGAGGGGAGGAGGGGCCTTGCTGCCAGCCTGGAGGCAGAGCCCAGGTCACCCCGGGTCCCATCACCCCGGGCATTTATAGGGGGAGCCGCCCTGGCACCTAAGGGGCCTCTGGCTGCAGCCACTGCGTCCCCGTCCAGAGAGCATCTGAGGGCCATGCCGTCCCTTGTTAGTCCATCCCAGACCTTGGGCACAGGGCCTCTCCACTCGACGGGGGCCCCCGTGAGGGGCAGGCCCCAGAGCAGCTGAGGCGCCTCGTCGTGGGGGTCAGCACTTGTACTGGCCTGGCCCTGCGCCAGCAGAGGGAGGGGTGCGAGGGGGACCCGGCGTGCTGAGGACAGCCCCTTGGGTGGTAGTGTCGACGGGGAGCGCGAGCGGGTGTGGGGGGGGGCTAGGAGGTGCAGATGCTTGTGCGAGACCGCCGCTTCCCGTTTACGCCGTGCACCCATCCCTGCTGCTCTGTGAGCCGCTGCTGTGATGGCACGTTTGACAGCTGGGGGAACCGAGGCCCGGGGCAGTTATGGGACCCGTCCAGGGTCTCCAGGACCAGACGGGAGCCACCCCGCGCCGGACCCTGTGTAGAAGGCTCGTAATACCCGGGCGGGGGTCCCGGGCTCCCTGCCCTGACCCGGGCTTGGCGCACGCGTGGGTCCCACCCTTGGCTGCCGCTTTGTGACCACCCATCCCGGGAAGGGCAGGTCGGAGTTCACGCACCGCGAGGGCCCTGCCGTGAGCGGAGGGGCTGTGCCCACACGTGGGAACAGATGTGGCCGCTCATTAAAAATTCCAATCCGCGGCCTATCTCCTCCGACTAACGATCACTGCCGCGGTGCCCACCCCCCAGCACGTTTGGTAAATATGGTGACGGGTGGGCCCCTCGCGCTCTGCGGGGTCACCGTCTGCAGGTGTGGAGGTGGAGGGGTCGCCCAGGGGGCCGCGCAGTCTGTCTCTTGCCCCCCCACCCAGGGAGTGAGATGGTTGGGGGTCTCTGCTGCCCCATCTCTTGGCTCTGACAGGAAGGTTACTGGCAGAGTCAGGGCTGGAGGGACAGTAGAGGGTGTCTCCTTGGGGACAGACTCTTGTCACCACCCCACGTACAGTGGTCATTCCTGGACACGCGCCACATCAGTGAGACAGAGGGTTGTGGCCCAGCGGAAACAGCGTGGGTTTGGGGTGGACAGACCTGGGCCCACGCCCTACTTGCTGCGGTTGGTCAGGGGTGGCCGGGCCTGGCGCCAGGTGGCGGGCGTCGTGCCATCTGGCCAAGGAGGGGCCGGGTTGTGGAGTTTTCGGGGCTCAGGGGAGGCCTGGGCCGAGATATCCTCACCTTAGGCTGAACAGGGTGTCACGGTGACGGAGCCCCCAGACTGGCTCCCGCGTCCAGAGCGAGAGCACCCGGCTGCTGTTGACGCTCGGTGCCTGCTGCGCGGCCCCCTCTCAGCCGTGTGAATGACCCCAACGACAGAACCTTTCGATGTGTTGTGGACGCTCCTGTGGGCGGGCGTGCAGGACGTTCCTCCGTGTGGCCGGGGGTTCTGGGGGCCGCCTCCTCCCCTGTCCTGCCTTGCGTGAGCGCTTTCTGGTTTCTCGGGGGTCTCCCTTCCCCGCCAGGCCCCAGGTCACTCTCTGTGTCCGGGAGTCTGGGGCAGGCGGGCCCACAGCCCTGCCCCCATCAGTGTGCAAAGGCCCCAGACAGGTCTGGCCAGTTGTGCTCTGGTCGGTGCCCCGGGGTTTGTCCGGGGGACAGGTTGGCATGCCCTGCCCAAGGGCAGCAGCACCTTCTCGGCCACGTCCTCCATGGGCATCGTGGGCCGAGAGGCATCTGTGACGCAGGCTGGCAGCTGGAAGCACAGCTGACGCCTTGGCCCCTTGGGATGCCGGCACATGCCTGGCGATCAGTGGCCAGGGGCTCCGCGTGGTTCTGTCACAGCCGCTGCAGTGCAGAGCTCACCGCCGGGGGTTGGGGGGGGTGTGCGGGGGGCCACCATCATCCAGCTCCCGCGTCTGAGTTTGGAGCAGCTGTGACCTTTGGGAGATCCGTGCTGGGAGGGCACGGGCGGTCCTACTGTGCTGTGTCCCCTGGCGGGCACTCGTCTGGACCCCAGTCCGATCCTGGGGCGTCTGTCCTTTCCTGTCGCCCAGATGTGTTTCAGTCCAGACCCCCCCATCAATGGAACCCGTGTCCTCCCTTCTTTCTGTTCCGCCTGCCACACCGCTCACACCGCAGGTTTGGGTGGAAAACCGTAAGGAAAGGCCATCTCTAGATCGTGCTCTAAAGCTTGAACCCTCCCCCCCACCCCGAGTCTGGAGGAAGGCCTGGCTCATCGTTGGCCGTGGTGTGAGCCGCCCGCCCCTGCCCTGACCCGCTGCTTTCTGTCCTCTAGCAAGACGCTGGCTCTCGGGGCAGCGGCAGCGGTCGGGAACGCCTCATCGTGGAGGCCCCGCTGCCCCAGGAGAAGGCAGGGGGCCCGGCCATCCCCTCCCACCTGCTCAGCACCCCCTACCCTTTTGGCATCTCCCCCAGCTCGGTGGTGCAGGACTCCCGCTTTCCTCCGCTGAAGTAAGTGCAGGTCGGGGCCCGGGGAGGGCACGCGAGCTGGGCTCTGGACCCCTGAGGCTTTGGCTGCCAGGCCGGCCGCACCAGCTGAGCCCAAGGCCGCCAGATGGTGGCTCAGCCCCGTCTGCGCCTGCTGACCGTTTCCACGCTGAGCCGACGGCTGGCTCTGCCGTCTGCCCGACCCTGAACCCCCAGTCTGGGGCTCCCGGAGCCGGGGGTCCCTCCAGGCTGCAGATAGCGGCCCTGCGCCCACTTGGTGAGGACGGCAGGGGGCTGGGGGGGGGGGCCCAAGGAGCAGCAGCTGCCCACCTGTGCCCTGGGCCTCCTGCCAGGACCTGTCCTTGCGAGGGAGGCATGGTGGAAGTGCCGGGAGGTTGGCCCGTTTCCCGGCCTGGGGCTCACCTCCGCCTTTCGTCCTCTGTCCGTCCCTCCCGCAGCCTCCAGCGGCCCGTGCACCACGTGGTGCCCCCCAGCACGGTGACAGAGGACTACCTGCGGAGCTTCCGGCCCTACCACACCACCGAGGACCTCCGCGTGTCCTCCCTGCCTCCCCTGGGCCTGGACCCGGCCACTGCCGCGGCCTACTATCACCCCAGCTACCTGGCCCCGCACCCTTTTCCCCACCCGGCCTTCAGGTGAGGCGCCCCAGACCTCCCCACCCACCCTTGGGCAGACACTGCTTGGGGCCAGATTCCCAGGGAGACCCAGGCGGCCGCCCCTCCCAGCCCTGCAGATGAGCCGTTAGGACTTTGCCCCCGAGGGAAATTCTGTCCGAGCTGGCCTCGCCCCAGCCCCTCCCTCTCCCGCCATCCGCTCCACTGGTGCACTTAAGCATTAAAACGCAGAGTGCAAGGTTTGTGTGCGACCAGGAAACCCCGCTGGAGACGGCGCTGTACCACTGCTCTACGTAGAAGCTTCCTGAGTCCTCCGTGACGGGTCGGCAGTTACGCTGTGGACCACCCCTCCCCAGACCTGGAAGTCTCCTCACTGGGCCTGGGGTGGCCAGCAGGGCCTCGGAGCCCTGAGCTGTTACCATCTGTTGGCCTCTGGGAGGAAGGGGCTTTGGGTCTGGCTGTGGACGTGGACTCTTTCTGCAGGGCCTTCATGGAGACTCTGTGGCCGTCCTGCCCTGTCCAGCGCCCCTGGATCAATAACCGTACCTGGCTGGGTCACCTGGTGGTAGGGCCGGGTCTCGCCTTGTTTCCTTTACGTTGCGCGTTCACTAGCCCCATCTTCTTGCACAGGATGGACGACTCCTACTGCCTGTCGGCCCTGCGGTCCCCCTTCTACCCCATCCCCACCCCCGGCTCCCTGCCGCCATTGCATCCATCAGCTGTGCATCTCCACCTCTCTGGGGTCCGCTACCCGCCCGAGCTCTCGCACTCGTCCCTGGCGGCGCTGCACTCGGAGCGGATGTCCAGCCTCAGTGCCGAGAGGTAAACCCCGTCCCAGGCCGGGTGTCCTCTGCTCTTCCCTCCCCGGATGGCAGAGCCCGGCTGGGCCGTTCGTGTGTGGCCAGGGGGGCTCCTTGGCCACTTGGGTCCTGGGTCTGTTCGCCTGCACACGGGGCGGTGACGGTGGGTGCTTCGAGCTCCTGGCCAGTGCCTGACGAGGCTGCATCCTCAGAATCCCCCCGGCCGTGAGCTTTCCGTGGCGCTTCGGGAGTCGGTGCACAACTTTTGATCTAATGGACTTTGAGCCTCTTAGCGCGTTAAACGAGACCTCCCACCACTGTTCGGATGGGAATGCTGGCTTTTTCAGGAAAACCTTGGTCTCGGGTGTCAGCTCCTTGCTTCTGGGGGTTCTCCCTAGCGGCCCGGCCCGGCCCCGAGCGCCCCCGCGGTGGAGGTCACATCTCCCTCTGCTCGCCCCGCAGGATGCAGATGGACGAGGAGCTGAGGCGGGAGAGGGAGCGTGAGCGCGAGCGGGAGGCTGACCGCGAGCGCGAGAAGGAGCGCGAGCGGGAGCGTGAGAAGGAGCGCGAGCGTGAGAAGGAGCTGGAGCGCGAGCGGGAGCTGGAGCGTCAGCGGGAGCAGCGGGCCCGCGAGAAGGAGCTGCTGGCCGCCAAGGCGCTGGAGCCGGCCTTCCTGCCCGTGGCCGAGCTGCACGGGCTACGGAGCCACGCCGCTGAGGAGCGGGGCAAGGCCTCGGAGCAGCTGACCCCAACCCGAGCAGGTACCCTAGAGGAGGACCGTGCGTGGGGAGCTGAGTGCTGGGGGGCTCCCCGAGGAAAGGGCCCTGCCGCGTAGCGTCTGCCCGCCGGCCTGGAGCATATTCACACCATGCCTTGTGCAAGCTACGCGCCTGATGTCCCCGGACAGGGAGCCGGGGGGAGAGGCACACGACACAGAGAAGACAGATGTAGGTAGGCAGCTGAAAGACTGTGCACCGTGGTAAGACGTGACATAATTCTTAGGAAGGGATAGTTTTAAGTATTTTTTAGCCTTAGTTTTTTTTCTTTTTTGCTGTACGCGGGCCTCTCACCGTTGTGGCCTCTCCCGTTGTGGAGCACAGGCTCCAGATGCGCAGGCTCAGCGGCCGTGGCTCACGAGCCCAGCCGCTCCGCGGCACATGGGATCTTCCCGGACCGGGGCACGAACCCGTGTCCCCTGCATCGGCAGTCAGACTCTCAACCACTGCACCACCAGGGAAGCCCTAGCCTTAGTTTCTAACATTTTATTTTATCATACGTACGCATAATCTAACTTGTAGCAGCCGGCTCGGGTGATTCCCAGAGTTCAAGTCTGCTTTGGTGTGGGCGTGAGCCTGCCCCACATGCCCACACCCAGCGTGTCACCCGGATGAGGAGAGCGCCCGGGAGCATCCATGCCCCCGGCTGTCTTGGCCCAGCCGCGGGGAGGCCCTTGGAGGGTGGTGCACGTCTCCTCCGGGAGGACGGGCAGTGGGGAGGGACTGAGCCTGGCGCTGAGATCCCGCCGTGACAGCCTTTCTCCCCCACAGAGAAGCTGAAGGACACGGGCCTGCAGGCGCCCAAGCCCGTGCAGCACCCCCTGCACCCGGCGGCCGCCCCGCACCACCCTGTGCCCGGCCTCCTCTCCACCCACGGCCTCTTCTCTCTGCCGGGCAGCAGTGCGGCCACGGCCCTGCTCCTCCAGCGCACCAACGAGGAGGAGAAGTGGCTGGCGCGGCAGCGGCGGCTGCGGCAGGAGAAGGAGGACCGCCAGTCGCAGGTGTCTGAGTTCCGGCAGCAGGTGCTGGAGCAGCACCTGGACCTGGGCCGGCCGCCGGCGCCCGCGGACGCGGAGCACAGGCCTGAGAGTGCCAGGTGGGCCCGGGCGTGGGGGCAGCGTCTGCACGAGGGAGCCTGCGTGTTGTCATTTGTCTAACCCCCGCTTTGGCCTGGAGGAGGGAGCGGTGAGGAGGGAAGGCGGTTGCTCAGGGGCGTCCATCCCCGAGTAACCTGTGTCTACAGCCTCGGCCCAGCTGCTTCCCAGCAGCGATGCTCGCGGCGCCTGAAGGAGGGCGACGGAGAATCTTCATTCAATAATTGTGTCCTTTCCATCTCCCTCTGCCCAGACTTTTTTTTTTTAATGAGAAGGGGGACTCCCTTTAATTTTTAATCAAACAAAAAATTAATTTTACGGCTTTTCTAATTTAAAAAAATACCCTTATTCTCCAGCCCTGTTCTAAAAAATTCCCAAGAGGCCTTTGCACCTGTCTCTGGGACCCATGGCTGCCGACACCTGCCTTGTGAGCTGGGGCCCTTCTTCTTACAGCTGCCCGTGGGGCCTCGCTGCTCCCCGTCTGATCTGGCTGTCACCTTGTGTCCCCCACCCCACCTTCCCTCCCTCCAGGGCTCACTCTGAAGGGCCGGGCTGAGACCCACACCAGAGTTGGTGGCGAGAGCTTGGCCAGGCCTGGGGCACACTGGACACCGCTCGCCTTCTCCGGGCCCATCTCCCTCAGCTTTGCACAAAGGAGCTTGGGTGGGAGGATTTCTGAGCCTCTTGCCAGCCCCTGATGTCCATGGTGCTGGGTTTCTGGGTCGGAGGCGTTGTAAATGTCCACTTGTTCCCTCCCTCTTTCTCCAGCTTCTCGCTGACTGGTGGGTTTTTTTCTGTGTCCTGGGCATGGCTGGCCCGTCCAGCAGTCTGCATCCTGCCTCTGCATCCACTGAGGGGATTCGCTTGCTAATTGGGTGTGACCGGGAGTGCACTGTGGCCAGGCCCCTGCCTGGGTCTCCTACCTCCTCCGGCCTCTGCTCCGTTCAGCGTGGCCACAGCGAGGTCTGTGCTGCAGACGGTTCCTCTGCTTCTCTGGGCCCGTCCGAGGCTACACAGGGGCTATCTCGTCTGCTTCTGAGCTGCCCTCTGTTCCTCTGGTCCCCGTCACACCCAGGGGACTGGGCGAGCAGTCAGCACACGTCCAGCATCTCCTGATAAATTCAGGGCGTGCTGACACCCGAGGGTGGCTTCCTGTGCTTGGGGTTGCAAGATCCCAGCACAGCTGTCAGGGCCTGTGTGCTGCTGCCCCCAGCAGGGGTTGGCCTCTGCCTCGGTCCTCACCTGGCCTCGGTGGTCCCCACAGCAGCGCGAACCTGATGGTCTTTTGGGCCCTTGGGCTCCGGGTTAGAAAACCAGCCTGTGCCTGGCTACAGCGTGTGAAATATTGCTTCGCTAACAGGTTTCATTCCTCTGCTGTTTACTCGAGGACTTAGCGCTTCTCGATATGGTTCCCTTTCGTATCCGCCCAGCAGAGGCGCAGTGGCCTTGGTGGCTCTGATTAGCCGGGCCCCCTCCTCGGCCAGGCAGGCGGAGCCCTGGGAGACGGCTGCTCACGTGCCTGCCGTGGCCTCTGCCCTTGCCCTTCCGTCCCCTCAGACCTTACCCTCGGTCTTCGTGGCAGCGTGGGGCTTCCCTTAAGAAAATAGATAAACTTTGGAGAAACAGCAGCCACGTAGTCCTCTGGAAGGTGAATGTTGTTTTACATGCATCGAGGAAAGAGGCACTTAGTTTGGCTTCGGGGCAAAGCTGCGTGTCTGATGGAAGGTCCCCTCCCTCCCTCCCTGTGTGTGAGGGGCGTGCGCTCTGGCAGGTGGCCTGGCTCCCTGGACAGGCCCCGGCCCGGGCCTTGAAGACCCTCTGGGCGTAGCTGCCGGCTGTGAGGGTGTCCACGGAAGCAGGTGTAGGCCGGGTGGGCCCCCGAGGCCGGCCTCTTGCTGCTGTCTGTGAGCACGGAGGGAGAGAGGAGGCCGGGCCCCCTCTGCGTGGCTCGCCTGGAGTTAGGATCGCCCGGGGGCGGGTCTGTTCGCAGCATGCTCGGAATTCAGGAAGCAGTGGCACAGGGTGAGCTGCTGTGAGGTCGTTGGTGAGACACGGGCTCGAGTGGGTCTGGCCGGGCCGGGACTGTCTCTGCCCTAGACCCGCAGAGCCCATGTTGGGCTCCCTGTTCTCTCCAAAGCGGGCCTCCACACGCCTGCCGCGAGCTGTCCACAGAGAAGGCGGCGGAGCGGAAGGCCCGTCCTCCCTCCAGCCCTGGGACGTGGCCCAGAGGAGGCCTCCTGCTCGCCCCTCCAGCTCTGGCCGGCTCGGGGCTCCCGGCAGGCGGCCTGGGGGCCAGCCAGGGTGGCTGGCGCACCTGGGCCCTCGCGGCTGACGGCTGCTTCCGCTCCCTTCGCAGGCCGGGACCAAACCGTCACGAGCCGGGAGGCCGCGACCCCCCGCAGCACTTTGGCGGCCCCCCGCCCCTCATCTCACCCAAGCCCCAGCACCACTCGGTGCCCACGGCCCTCTGGAACCCGGTGTCCCTGATGGACAGCACGCTGGAGACACGGCGCGCCCCCGAGGGCCACCCTCTGCACGGCCACCCCGCCCCGTTTGAGCCCAGCCGCCAGGCGGCCGTCCCGCTGGTGAAGGTGGAGAGGGTCTACTGCCCCGAGAAGGCGGAGGAGGGACCCCGGAAGCGAGAGGCCGCCCCCCTGGACAAGTACCAGCCGCCGCCCCGCGAGGCAGGGGGCCTGGAGCAGCAGGCCTTCCCCCCTGCGCCTGCGCACTTCCTGGCGGAGCTCGAGCCGTCCACCCAGACCATCCTGGGCCAGCCCCGGGCCCCGCTTGCCCCGCCGGCCCCCTTCGGGGAGACCCCCGGGCCCCTGAAGCCGGGCTCGCCCTACCGGCCCCCGGCGCCACGGGGCCCCGACCCCACCTACGTCTACGACGAGTTCCTACAGCAGCGACGGAGGCTGGTCAGCAAGCTGGACCTGGAGGAGCGCCGGCGGCGGGAGGCCCAGGAGAAAGGTCGTGTCCCTGGCGGCTGCGGCCCTCCCTCCTCCCTTCTTCTTCCTCCCTTCTCCTTCCTCCCTTCTCCCTTCTCCTTCCTCCCTTCTCCTTCCTCCCTCCTCCCTTCTCCTTCCTCCCTTCTCCCTTCTCCTTTCTCCTTCCTCCTTTCTCCCTTCTCCTTCCTCCGTTCTTCTTCCTCCGGTTTCCTTCCTCCCTTCTCCCTTCTCCTTCCTCCCTTCTCCCTCCTCCCTCCTTTTCCCTCCTCCCTCTGGCTTTCTGCCCTGGGGTCTCAGCAGCTCCAGGGAGCAGGTTCACTGTCTTCTGCCTGACACTTCTGCTGGGAAGACAGACCCGGGCCGCTCGTCTGTCCTGCCATAATGCGTGTTATTCCCAAAAGCCAAATTGTAGACTGTCTGTGAAAACAGTTCCACAGACATGCACATTTAATAGGTGGTGAACAGAGGCCAGTAAGACGGTCTGAAGTATTAACAGTGCAGCGTAAAGGGGAGGAGGCTGTCGAGAGCACGGCCCGGGGCCCGGCCGGGACTCCTCTCCTGGGGCTGCTGTCCCAGTTGCAGGCGGGTGGGCGGCCTAGGGGGCAGGGGAGGCGGGAGCTCTGGCCGCCTCTCCTTCCTGCTCCTGCACAGGGTGGGGTGGGACTCAGCCAGTGGCACCCTGGGTTCCCCAAAGAGCTACGGAGAACAGGCGAGCAGGCCTAGGGCAAGCATGGCTGTCCCCTACCTTCACCCTCTGTCAGACCAGGAGCGATCAGGGGTCCAGACCAGTTTCTTCTGCATGGTGTTAAATTCAGCCTCTTAGCCGGAAGCGGGGGCCAAGGCCGAGGGAGTCTTGGTTGGTCTGCGTTGTTGATCTAGGCTAAATTTAGAGCCCCAGAAAGATTTTTCAGCTCCACTCACCTTGTGGGAAGGCGGGGCGAGGGCCCCGGTGCCCTCGGGTGCAGGGGTTCTGCTCTCTGCACAGGAGTTTGCATGCATGCTCTGTACCTCTGAGGGGACGGGGACCTGAGTGTGCCTGTCCCCTCCCGAGCAGGAGGGAGTGGATGTGCACAGACAGCCTTGGGCTGCCGTGGACGTGGCCCCGGGCCTGTGTGATGAACGGTCCCCTGCTGGGGGATCGGTGCTGGCCAGGAGACAGCGTGGTCACTTGGGGTCTGTGGATCCAAGGGAAGCCTGGTGCCTGCTTTCTGCCCCCCACCTGCCAGCCCTGAGAAGCCCTAGGACTAGGGGTTAATGCACATTTCCACCTGGGGTGAAAGGAATCTGGCTTTGGGGGTGCTCAAAGGGCGGTAGGGCCTGGCCTGCCAGGTGGAGGGCCCTGTGTGTTCACTGGCGAATCGAGGCTCCCTGCCCAGCTGAATAGATCCGCTCCACCTCCAGGATACTACTACGAGCTGGACGACTCCTACGATGAGAGTGACGAAGAGGAGGTTAGGGCCCACCTCCGCTGTGTGGCCGAGCAGCCGCCCCTCAAATTGGACACGTCCTCTGAGGTATCTGGGGTTCGTCGCTGCGGTCAGGCTCTGGGCTGGGCTGCTGGCACTCACCTCGGTGCCTGCCTCTGGGCTTTCCCACGCCGTTGCGACGCCGTCAGGGCCCTCCTCCTCCCAGGCCCGGCACGGAGTGGCCACAGCACAAGAGCTTCGAGGACCCCGGGAGGGGCCCCTGGGTCAGTGGAAGCACGCCACGGCCAGCGGTTTCAAACTCATTTGTCTTCTTTCCCAATCCAGAAGCTAGAGTTTTTGCAGCGCTTCGGCCTGACCACCCGGCAGCAGAAGGAGGAGCTGCTGACCCAGAAGCGGAGGAAGCGGCGGCGGATGCTCAGGGAAAGAAGCCCGTCGCCCCCGGCGGTTCAGAGCAAGCGGCGGACGCCTTCGCCGAGACTGGCGCTGTCCACCCGCTACAGCCCCGACGAGATGAACAGCAGCCCCAACTTCGAGGAGAAGAGGAAGTTCCTGACCATCTTCAACCTGACCCACATCAGCACGGAGAAGAGGAAAGGTGAGGCCTGGGTGGGGCGGGGCCTCGCCAGGAGGGCTGAGGGTCTCTGAGGAAGGAGGCGGGGCCACGGGCTCCTGGCGGCGTCCTGGGGCTCTCGGGCTTCCTCTTGGGCGCCCCTCTGCTCTCACAGACCTGCCTCACTGTCTCCGCCGTCACGCTTCTCTCTCCGTCGGAAACTTGCGTGGCCCCCTTCAAAGCCTGTTTTTTCTTGTCTCATCCCGGGTGGAATTGAAGACGCGCTGATGTTCTGTGTACAGCCCACCATGAGCTTGATGCCTGCTCTTGTCCCTTGTCAGGTCTCCCAGCACGTTCAACCCGCCCTGGGTGTGGGGTGGACGTGCGCCTTCCCGAGCAAGGTGCTCAGGCTTCTTCTTGGTAGCGGGCGTTTTCTCTTGGCGGCTGCTCTCGTGGCCGCTGGGCAGAGCCGACACCCACCGAGTGGACGATTTGCCCTGAGAGATGCTTCCAGATCGGTCTAGCCACCAAGGGCCATGTCGGGGCCGACTCTTGGGCTGGAGCCCGTGGTGCGATCTGAACACTTTCTGGGGCACCTGCTGCCTTGGTCTGCCGCTCACGCTCGCTCAGTGCCAGGATGGTGGCGCAGGTGAAAACTAGGCCTTCCTGGGGTACGCACCCCCACATTCCCCTTGCTGGCACTCGCTCACCTCTTTCCAGAAGGAAGAGGAAAGCAGAAGTGCTTCTTGGTCATCTAGTCACTTTCGCTTATTTCGGTAGCGGGGGTGTAGCATTCAGTTTTTGTGTTGAACCAGTGAGCTGGCGTTCTCGCTTTCTCTTGAAGGGGCAGTGACACGATTACCAGGGCAAATCCCTGGGAACGCGCATAGTTTTGTTTGTAAAGAGAATCTTTGTGCCTGACTTAATTCCTGGAGGAAGCCGCCGGTGATGTGGCCACTTAAGTTTCAGTCCGCGAGAGGCCCCTGAACTGCGTCGGGAATCTGTGGCATCAGATGTCACCGGGTCGGTGTCCCTTTTCCCTAAACGGCAGCCGTCGTGGGATTCGCACTCTCGTGGCGGGCGGCAGGGAGGAGACTGTGTCAGGAAGCAGCCTGTACTTCCCAGGGTTCTGTGGGGCTCTTCGGGGTTGCTTCCTGTGTCGGGGCCAACTTTTTTCTCTTTTAAATAAGAATTCGTTCCCAGAAGCTCGCAGGTACCAGTCATTCACTGCACACACACAGCTGTTCTCGAACACACCTGAAATGTTATGTAGTAAAAGCTGAGAGGCATCTGGGCTCGCTGTAAAGTGCAGTTTCTTCCTCTAAACCTAGCCTGTCCCCGTGGCTTTGTGTTTCTCGTTCTAAAGGACTCGCGCCTGCCGGTCGCGGCCTGGGCTGGACTCCTGCTCTCCTTCCCTCCCAGGAGTGACACGATCCTCTTGTTAATCTCGGGTTGCTTTTCTCATAGACAAAGAGAGGCTTGTTGAGCTGCTCCAGGCCATGAAGCAGAGGGCGCTGTCAGCAGCGGTGGCAGACCCGCTCAGGAACTCTCCGAGGGACAGTCCTGCTGGGTCCCTGAGCGGTAAGGCCAGCCCCATCCGCCACCGCCCGGGACTGTCCCGGGGGCTGCCCAGGGTCAGAGGCCACCACCCCAGGTCGTCTTCCTCCTGGACACAGCGTGTGCTTCTTTCTCTCCAACTCTCTCTCAAGCTTCCTGCGCGTGGGAAGGACCTGCTCGGCCGCAGCGCGAGCCTTGGCAGTCGGGGCTCAGAGGGTTCAGGGGGAGGGTCCCGGCTGCGGCAGACTGTGCCCGGTGGTCGGCGTGGCTCTGGCCGCTGTCCGTCCGCCCAGCGGGGGCCCGGGTCTCAGCACCTGCTGCTTGGGCTCTGTGCTCCCGTCCATCCACCCTTCGCCCTCCTCCCGGCATCTTTGTCTTGCTTTTTCTGCCTTGCAGGCCCCTCCAGTACCTGCTTTCACACCTTCTGTCTCTCTCTTTTGTGGCTCTGACTCTCCTGCACTGTCCTGCTGACGGAGCAGGAAATCTTGTTGGTCTGGCCCTGTTCTCAGCTCTTAACTGGATCTTTCTGGTCGGGTCAGGCTACGTAACTTCCTGCCTTTTGGATGACCAGAAGCGACTTGCTTCTTCCTTCAGATTCTTCTCCTGCCTCTCAGATGCCCTCCTGGGGCACCTCTCAAGGATGGCCTTGCTGCTAAACGCACCCCGTCTCAGACCACACAGCGCACACTGACCTTTAATTAAATGGCTCCGGAGTCCGGGTCCTTTGTCCTAGGTCTTCATTCAGTGTAAGCTCTAGACATCAGGGTTGGCCCGTTCACGTTGCAGGTCTTAACGTGTTCCTCACTTTCTGTCTCTGAAAGAACCAGCCACGCAGCAAGCCTCTCTGGATACGGAGAAGCCTGTGGGTATCACTGCTTCCTTGTCTGACACCCAGAAGGCCACGGAGCCTGGGAGACTGGAACAGCTCCGGCCCCAGGAGCGAGTCCCGGAGCCAGCCCCCGCCAGCGGCGAGAAAGCCAGGCCGAGCGAGACCCCTGGGGGCAGGAAGAGCCTGAGCATGCTCCACTACATCCGGGGCCCCGCGCCCAAGGACATCCCCGTGCCGCTGTCCCACGGCATCAACGGGAAGAGCAAGCCGTGGGAGCCCTTCGTGGCGGAAGAGTTCGCGCATCAGTTCCACGAGTCCGTCCTGCAGTCCACCCAGAAAGCCTTGCAGAAGCACAGAGGTAACGGGGCCGCCTGGCTTTGTTGAGGAGGGCCGCTTGGGGTGCGTGAGGCACCTGGCGGTAGAGGCGGGGTTTGCCTCTGCAGGTCCAGGGTGGGGCCTGAGAGCGCACCGCTGGGAGCGGGTGCCCGGGTGGTGCTGCTCCTTGGGCCACACGTCAGGGAAGCTTAGCAAGAGAGGCCGTCTGAATTTAATAAGGCCCTTCGAGGAGCCTTTTCAGCAAAAACAGGATCCATGCCTTCCACAGCTGAATGATTTCCCAGCTTCCCCTACAGACTCACCTGGAAACCTCCCTGTCCTTTGATAACTAGACCCAGCGAGCACTTTGTGTGACACACTGGTTGCTCCAGCCCCATGTGTGAGCCCTCAGATTCATGCCCCTTGGACATTTTGGTGGGAATCGCTGCAGGTCAGAGAACAGGGGTCAGTACATTTCATTCCCGTTGATTAGAAAAGAATCCTCAGTGATTAAATCACTACTGAGTGTAAAAGAAATTTCTGTACACTCCAGTAGCCAGAAGAAAGTATAAAAGAAATTTTATTACTGCAACCTAGAAGAGCTGACTATTAGACATACAGCTCTGACGTCAGTATCCTTCAGGTAAATCCTTCAGGTAAATTAATGCTGTCAGCAGAGATGAAATGATACTCAAAAAGCAAAGGGCAGTGGTTTTCGCAGTGATCTTTGAAAACAACTCTCCAAGGCAGGAGGAGCGCTTTATGGGAAGTTTGTTGTGAATTTACTTGAACCGTATTTTTCCAGAAGGAAACGTTTTGACCGTGTGACTAGATCAAACCCCTCTGTGCTCCCCCCTGACACACCCACAGAGGCTTTTCGGTGGCCCGAGGACACATTTTTCCTGCCTCATTTCAACCATTCCCTGATGTTACACCTGTTTTGTCCAGACTTTAAAGTCACCCAGCCCCTGACAGTTTGGGCCGTACTGGTCCACTGACTGCCCGAGGCTGCTGTCCACGCGGGGAGGCACCTTGCGCCTGTTAGACCACTAGCAGCAGGGCCACAAGGCAGAGCGGACCTTGTCTACACAGGCCCCCGCCAGTTAGCGGCCTCCTGGTAGCCGGCAGGGCACGGGGTGTATTCAGGGACTGGAGCGCCTGCATTTCCTGACGAGCGGGGGCAGATACTTACTTGAGGGCCCACTGTAGACCAAGCTCAAACCCACAGTTTCACAGAACACGATGTCGAAGCTCAGGACTTAACACAGCTGAGCTCGTACACGTGGTGCGATTAATTGAATCTAGGCCTGCTGCTGTCTTATTTATTTATGGCTGCACTGGGTCTTGGTTGCTGCACACGGGTTCTTGTCTAGTTGTGGCGTGCGGGGGCTACTCTTCGTTGCGGAGGGCGGGCCCTAGGCGTGCGGGCTCAGTAGTTGTGGCTTGTGGGCTGTAGGGCTTAGGCTCAGTAGTTGCGGCGCACAGGCTTAGTTGCTCTGCCTGCTGCCGTCTTTACGGCTCTTTTCAGCCCTCCTGATGGTGCCGTCTTCGGTCTCCGAAGGGCACAGGCCTCACCATGCTTGGTCTTGTCTGCGGCGAGACCTCAGTCACGCTGACTCCGTCGCCTGCCCCCAGCACAGGTCCCCATGGGCCCTGTGATGAGCCGTCTTCTCTTCCCCAGGAAGCACAGCTGTGCTGTGTGCAGAGCAGAACCACAGCATCGACGCCTCTGTCCACTACAACATCCCCGAGCTGCGGTCCTCCAGCCGGCTGCCTCTGCCCCCGCGCGACGGGCAGCAGGAGCCCCCCGCCGGGAGGAAGGGCCCCCTGGCACAGGAGGTGGACCCGGACTCAGAGGAGGAGGACGACGACGACGGAGAGGACGACGACGAGGACCCCCCCAAGCGCAAGTGGCATGGGATCGAGGCCATTTTTGAAGCTTACCAGGAACACGTAGAAGGTACGCAGGGGAGCGGGAGGCAGGCCCAGGCGAGGGGCCCGGGAAAGGCAGGGAAGGAAAGCTTAACAGGCCAGTCAGCGCCAGATTTTGTCGCCGGGCTGGGGACCGTTTCTAAGTCATGGCACTAGCTCTCAGGGTTCTCGGGGTCCCTGGGCCACAACTAGGCAGAAACGCCGGAAGGTACGTCTCCGTTAGCCGTCTCACCTATTTCCAGAACCGTTCCTCGGGCTTCTGCGGGTGCCCGGGCTGGCTTACAGGGGCAGTTCCTCACGGACAAACGTGAGGCCATCCTCACCGGAGGAGTTTAAGCACCAGGCGCCCGGCCCCACTCAGCATGACAGCGCCAACCTGGGCCTGCTCGCCCTCTGCTGTCTTCCATTGCACTTCTAAACATTGTACCAGTCCTGACGCTTGTGGCTACGTACAAGGGTCCTGGAAAGTGCCAAGTTGCTTCACTTAGCCGAGCCCCACATGGCCAGGCTGCTCAAGTGTGCAGCATCTGGGCGACATGGTGGTGTCCCCCACATGCTCTGTGGTCCTCCTGGACTAGAGCTTTGTACAGGAGGCGAACCCTTGTTGGCCACCAGCATGTCAAAACCCAGGCCAGTGCCAACCCCAAATTCTGTTTATTACCATATCATACAGGAGTCTTAATTTTTATCACGAATATCATGATCCTTTCAAATATTTTAAAACACGCCAAGGACAATCAAAAGGAATGCCCACATAGCCACAACCAGTGTCAACTCCTACATTTTATTTACTTTTTATTGACGAGTATAGTTGATTTACAGTGCTGTGTTATTTTCAGGTGTGTAGCAGTGATTTGGTTATACATTCAGTTCTTTTCCATTATGGGTTTATCACAGAATATTGAATATAGTTCCCTGTGCTATACAGTAGGACCTTGTTGTTTACCCTGTTTTATGTATAGTATCAACTCCTACATTTTGCTTCCTTTTCTCCTTCAAATGAAACCCTCGTTTTGAATTTATTAAGTACATATATATCCAGAAGGATATGTGTTAATAGCATTCCTTTTTATTTTAACACAGTGAAATGTATCCGTCTTTTCTGGGTTTATTTTTTGGTGCCTTGTTGGAATTCCTTCCCTACCCCAAGGACATGGTAACAAATGCATTTCCTTCTAAGTCTTCAGGTTCTGCTTTTCTTATGCGTAGAATTCATTTCTGTGAATGGAGTAAGGTAGAAGTGTAACTCCTTCTTTCCCACCCAGACAACCAACCAATTATCCTGGAGGTTTATGGGGTACCCTCTTCCCCATGGGGTGTGCTCCTGGCAGGCAGTGTACCCCCCACGTGCCCAGGCCTGTCCCTGTGTCACTGCCGTAGCTTTGCAGCTCCCCATTGTCTGGAGTAACTCACCCTGACTTTTCGGACAGCTCAGCTGTTCTTGGCCCTTGGCTTTCCCTGGTGAATTTTAGGATCGCCTTTTTTGTTCCACCCAAAAGACTGTTAGGTTTTCAGGTACACTGAATTGATAGAGTTGGGGAAAATGGCCATCTTTGATGGGGATGTTATCCCACCTGTGACTATGGCGTTACATCATTTTTGCTCCGTGAGCGGCTGACTTTCCTTTTATTGGATCTAATTGTAGGTATTAGTTGTCACTGGGGATGTTTCAGTGTTTGTCGTCCCTTATTCCTTCGATGATCATAGATGATCAGGCCTGCCAATAAAAAGTTTCATTCTTTCCTTTTGAATTTTGTATACATTTCCTTTTTCTTGTCATGCTGCATCGCCTAGGATCATTTGTAGACTGTTGAACAGGGACACCTGTGGGCTCCTTTCTGTGAAACTTTACAAGCGCTCCAGTAAGTTGCTGCTGAGTTTTCTGGTGTGCGGTTGTTGAAAGTCAACTAATGTATTTTCTAGATTTACTGAGATGACAGACTTGTTTTTCACCTGTTGATGTTTTCTGATGTTGCTCGCTTACTCCTTGCTGAATTTGACTTGGTAGTACTTCTAAGAGTTTTAATTTATATTCTTAAGTGGTATTAGATTGATTTTATTGTACTTTTACCCTGCTATCATGATTGTTCTAGCTTCTATAAAACCAGTCAGGTAGCCTTCCCTGGCTTCCACTCTCTGAAACACTTCATTTTAAGGAGGGATTTATTCTTTTTTTTTTTATTGGAGTAGAGTTGATTTACAGTGTGTTAGTTTCATGCCCAGGAGTGGGATTGCCGGATCTTATGGTAATTCTTTTTTTAGTTTTCTGAGGAACCTCCGTACTCTGGTCCATCGTGGCTGCACCAGCTTATACAGGAGGGTTCCCTTTTCTCCACACCCTCTCCAGCATTTATTGTTTGTAGATTTTTTGATGATGGCCGTTCTGACCAGCGTGAGGTGGTACCTCATTGTAGCTTTGACTTGCGTTTCTCTAATAATTAGCGATGTTGAGCATCTTCTCATGCGCTTTTTGGCCATCTCTTTGTCTTCTCTGTTTAGATCTTCTGCCCTTTTTTTTTTACTTGATATTGAGCTGCAGGAGCTGTTGGTATATTTTGGAGACCAGTCCCTTGTGGGTCTCATTATTGCAAATATATTCTCCCGTTCTGTGCGTTGTCTTGTCATTTTGTTTATGGTTTCCACTGCTGTGTAAAACCTTTAAGTTTAATTCAGTCCCATTTGTTTTTTATTTTCATTACTCTAGGAGGTGGATCAAAAAAGATCTTGCTGTAGTTTATGTCAGAGTTCTGTTTTCCTCTAGCGTGTTATGGTATCTGGTCTTACATTTAGGTCTTTAATCCATTTTGAGTTTATTTTTTGTGTTAGGGAGTGTTCTAAATGTCATTCTTTTACATGTAATTTAAGGCTATACATTTATCCTTAATTACTTCCTAACCGGTATCCCTTAAAATTGCCTTTCGCTGCTAGACCCTTGGTTCTCGTTCCACTGGGTTGGATTTACTTTAGTGATACTTAATGTACTTACCAGCGTGATGGAGGGGGCTGGGAGCAGTGTGGTCCAAAGGAGAGGACTTTGCTGGCTGCTCTAGAGAGAGGGGAACACTCACCAGGCCTGTGGCCCCTGCATACAGGAAATGTGTCAACATCACTTGTCTTTTCAGAGCAAAATCTAGAGCGGCAGGTGTTACAGACGCAGTGCAGGCGGCTGGAGGCCCAGCACTACAGCCTCAGTCTCACGGCCGAGCAGCTCTCCCACAGCATGGCGGTGAGTCCCGGGGCACCACACGTGGGGGAAAGGAATGAAAATCGGCTCCTGGGGGTTTTTCTTAAACACATAATGCTTATTTTTGTTCAGCCTTTCGAGTCTGGGTTCAAGAGCACCCATACAGGCAAGTTTTGAAGGGAAATTGTGCCCTTGAGAGATGAAAAACAGTCTTAGCCTAAGGAGGGAAGCATCATTCATTTGCAGACTGTGGATCCTGGAAGGGTGACGATGCTGTGTATATTGCCTGTGTCAAGTCTCCCCGTCCTGTGATTTGCTCAGGAAGATGGAAAGCTCTTGAGGCGAGAAGGACTCCCCTCGCAGCCAGGCTCAGCCCTGCGGCTGTGCTTCCTCCCGTCCACGGGATGGGGGCTTGTCTCAGATCGGGTCTTAGGTCTTGGCCAGTCCTGAAGCAGCAGGACGTAAGTTTTATAGCGGCAGGACTAATTTTTCAAATCTCAGCGTTGAAGCTGAGACGGCAGGAGACCCTGTTCCTATGAGCGAGCGCAGGTACTCTTAAGAATCCGAAACCTCGGGGACAGTCAGAGCTGGTTCTGAGTGCTGAAGGTTGGCCTCCAGCACATTCGTGCATCCACACACACGTTTCCTTACCGCGTGAAATGAGTGCTTTACGTGAATTTCTCTCTCTCTCTCTCTCCAGGAGTTGAGGAGCCAGAAACAGAAGATTGTTTCAGAAAGGGAGCGACTCCAGGCAGAACTGGATCACTTACGGAAGTGCCTTGCGTTGCCTGCAATGCATTGGCCTAGAGGTTACTTTAAGGGATATCCTAGGTGACGGTTTCCCTTGCACTAGGCCGAACCTATAGTATAGAAATATTATCTATTTTATTACCTTGAATATTTAATATTTTTCACTGGGAGGTTTGAAGCTTAAAAAAATGAGAATGTGCCATGCATGAAGCAAAGGATTTCCAGGCTCCAGAAAAAAGAACGAACTCGCCTTGACTTCAATGCAATTGAATCGCCTTTGTAATTCAGCGAGCAACCCCTGTAGAACACCCAGTTTTTTCTTTTTAAAGGCAGTTTTATTCTTTCCCCACACCATGATTTTTTAATCTGAACATGAAAGGCTCCATTACCAACAGTAAAATCCAATCGTTTCTAGCCCCTGGGTGTGTAGGACTGGACCGGACCGTCGGTGTTCCGTCTTGGTTGCCGTGTTACTAGGCCTCGAGAACCCAGGTGGTTCTGGCTGCAGGGGGTGGTGGCCGGTCTCAGTCCTCCCCGGGACTGAGACCTACCTTCAGTGGAAGGGAGGTGGGGGTGCATTTTTAAGTAAAGGGCTTATTTCAGTTACTTTTTCTGCAAAATTTTCTTCAAAGCAACAGGTCCTAGGAGCACACAAAGCAACAGTGCTGAAGCCTTACCCAAAGGCTTTTCCCCAGAAAAGCTCTTACCTTACCTAAAGATAAAAAGCGAATCAACAAACTGAAGGTACCTTTCTATTACTTCACGGGGGAAAATGTACAGAGCTCTGTGTACACATTTATCCACACCCACCAGATTGTTACTGCGGTAGGGGTGTTTTCATACAAACGTAAATTTTTGAGAGGAAAGTCAAAGGTGCTTCAGCCTTGTACTGTGTATATATATTAAAAAAACAAAGTTTTGTATGTTTTTATTACTTTAATTATTGTTATAAAAAAGCCTGCCATTTTTAATATGTGGTTTGGAGGGATTTTTGTTGTTTGTTTTCTTGTTTGGGGGTTTTGTTTGTTTTTGTTTTGTTTTTCTGGGCAAAAAAAAAAAAAAACACCTTGCTTTTTTTAGTGTTTGTACTGCTGCTGGTCAGGACATTAAGATATTGAAGTGTTTTTAAAAAAAATTAAAGAAGAAGAAAAGTAAAGAGCTTACCACTGGCACCTATGCGATCACTTCATTTTTGAGTTGCACCAGAGTGATGATGTAGACAGCCATGGTTACGTCTCACTTCCTCTTGCGCCCCGCCCCTGCTCCGGACAGCAGCCAGTTCACCACAGCCCATGCTATGAAGCGAGGAGGGGCGGGCTCCAGTGGGAGCCAGGTGGACGCTGTGTGTGCACCTTCACGCACGCAGGCGCACATGGGCTTCGTTAAGAGCCTTTGAGGAAGGGAGCGGCTGCTGGGACAGGATGCTGAGGTGTCTTACGGCAGTCTGCGCAGGTGCAAAGTAGAAACTGTATAGGGTTTATTTATTCAGATGCAAAGCTTTGTACCAGCCTGAAAGTAGGGTGAACAGTGCCTGCGCAGAACTTCTCTTCTTGGACTGACCTACTGTGCCAACCACAGGAGCGGCTAGGAACGGGGATGAGGCAGGTTCAGGCAGCGTGAAATCCAGATCAGGAAGGCATCTCTTGCCCAAGTGGGCCTGAACCAGAGGCCAAAGCAGCCAGTGGTTGTTGGTCTGCCCGGGGGAGGGCAAGGGGACCCGAGCATCACGCCCCGGGCCAGGGGAAGGGCTGGCTGACCTTCAGGAAGGCTACTCACTGTGATCAGTGGCCATGCCCTCGGCCCCAGACCTTAGCTGCGCGGAACAGCTTGCTGGCAGATGGCGTTGTGTCACTTTATCTGTTCCCACACAGTCTGCTTTGTGTATCTGCCAAGAATCTTCCAGTTATTAGCAAACTCAGACGAAAAGTGCCGCCAGTATTAGCAGCAGTCAGCAAGTGCTTTTCTCTCTACAGAAACGACTTGACGAGAACTAAGGGCTCTTCCGGGGGCCTCCTCCCCTGCAAAGACACAGAGCGCCATGTGCCACAGGTGGCAACAGGTGTTCAGAGGGAGCCCCACTGCCAACGATCAGGGCAAAACGTCACTGAATTTCTCTACCTAAGATCTGCTTGCTGGCTCTGAAGGCCTAAGGGTTACTACATCTTAACGCTTCCCCCCCAGTCCTCCTAACTCCGTAGTAGAAAATGTCTGGATGCCTTTGCTCCTCGGCTCTGGTAGGGGTCCTGGCCAAAAAGCAAAGGGATGAGTAGATCTGATAACGTGCACAGCCCCATCCTGTTACCACCTGAGGGGAGCGCCTGTGTCTGCGGCTGTTTTGCTTTTGGGGAGGAGGACGCGGCACACAGGTTAAAGGGACGCCTGCCCAGGGGTGCAGCTGTGTCACTGAGCTAGAACTGCCTGCCTCCCCCCTGCCCCGCCTCTGAGCTGCTCCATCACTCTGCTTCCCCATACTCCCACCGACCTGTGAGGGTCTCTCAATATTCTAAGGCTCAAGAAGTAATAGGACAATCAGAATATAAATACAAACCCATAAGGCAACATGAATAAGAAAAAGGAAACAAAGTGTCTTTTGAAAACAAAAGATTGGGTACTATGTCTCTGCACCGCTGAGACATAGTACCCAATCTTGGGGGGTTTTTTGTTCCATTTAGTAATTAGTTTTATAATCTGAAAACACTTATTCTGAAAGAGCATGGTAGCATCAGAGCCTCTTCAGTTTGGGCTTAAAAACTGACAGAGAAGTATGGAATCCCTGAAGCTTTTCGTTCAGCTGTTTCACACTGAGTTTGAAAGACAGAGTTCAGAAGTGCACCACATGTGCTCTAGAACCGATCATGCAACTTCTGTGTCAGTACTTTTGTGAACAGTCCTTCACGACCTGTGTCTTCCCACGGCACCTGGGAGAGACGGCTGCCGTCTGCCCTCTGAAGGGGGTTTCGCTAAACCTGTGCGGGATGGGGTCCCTTCCAAAAGTGAGTCGTGTGGTTCTGCATTCAATCAGATCATTAGCAACAACCCAGAGCTTTCCCCCAAACTTGGCGCCACATGTAGAAGAAACAAGCCAAACTGAAGTGAAATATAATCTTAATCCATTATCTCAGATAAGTGACCAAGATAGGCTCTTCAACAGTGTAGTCTATATTCTAATGGAAACAAAACACTTAATTGGCATTAACATGCTCATAGATTATACACCCTCAGGGAAACTCAAAGAATATTAAAAGGAGCCGACACCTTCAGCAAAGTAGCGAAGCATTAAAGTATTCTAACAGGAAGTCTTAAGTTTGTATGTGGGATGGCGTTTCGTCAAGTAGCTCACAATGCTGTCACATCTCCAAAATTAGACTGCATAACCCCCCTTTCCCTCTGGGCCACGGCTTAAAGCGTAGCAAGTTCCAGGGAACTGCCACCAGATGGAGATGGTCAGCACCGCGATGCTGTTCATCGTACAGCGTGGATTAGCCACTTCGCAGCAGCCCTGTCCTCTTCCAAGTAACCACAGTATCAACTTTACTACTGCAGTAGCCTGTCCCCAACTTTCTGATCCAGCGCTTAACCTTAGCTCCTTCACTCCACCTTGACCCGAGGAAGACCGTGCTCATCCATCAGTCGTGTTACTCTGTATGTACCTATGCTTAACTGCTAGAACAGTCAACCAGTACATGGAAGGAGGAGGAACAGTGCCTCGGTCACTCTGGGGGGGCAGTTTAGATGCTGTGAAATTAAACCTGTTCTAAGTGTACTTGTTTGAATTAACTGTATTGTAATATTATTTGTTGAATGTAGTAATTAGGTATTTATGAATATATTGCTGTAATTTCTGACAACATCCAAAAAATAAAATCTTCCTAAATCATCTTAAGAGAAAAATCTTTTCTATGTTATAATAAGGCCAAAAAATAAAAATGAGAGCTCAACAATTACACAGCTTTAAGGTAAAGTGTGAAGACACATTCGACTGCGCCTCAGCCAGGTTTTAAGAGAAGGGGATTCGGGGGTGAAATCTGAGATACACAGGACTCCTAAACTGCCACAGCAACATGTGGTTTCATTCTAGAACATTCCCCAGATTAACTCCGAAGGATTCTGCATAAGAGAGAGATGAAAAGACAAGTCCTGTCATCTCTTAAGTGATGGAGACCAGGTCTGGGTCCTCATCCCTCCACGTGCGGCCCTTCGGTGCTTAAACAATAGCTGCTGAGCAACCTGAAGTAAGTTTGTACTTTAAACACTGACGGGTAAAAACACCAGATATTCTTTAGGCCCAGCTGATCACGCACATGTACCCTTCCTTCATAACCCTCGAGATGGCATGGGACTGCTTTTGACTGACGGCGCTAGCATTGGAAACCAGCTGGTTACCGAACCTACTCGTTACACGACGAGACGATCTCCCCCCCCGCGGTAATGTACTTTTCTGTAAGGGACTGAGCAATGCTAGCGCTTAAACTTTTCCTCCTAGGGAAAAAAACCAATACCGTTACCTGAGCCACTGCTGCCTAGAACTGTCTTCCCCTCAGTTCATCAAGCACCACGTAATAGGCCCCACTTTTCCCCCTGGGGTCGCGTCTTCAGCTTCACTCACACACTCGATACATGGAATTCATTTTCTCCCGAGTTTCCTCTTGCTGATAAGCAACCCTTTAGGGCCTTACCCAGAAACAGCCAAGAGAACCAGAGATACGCAGAGTGTCGGTCGGAAGTTGACAGTTGCCTGCTAAACCTCTCAAGTTTGGTCCATCCGATCATTCTAGCCACTTGGCCTGCTCCTTTGCGTGGCAGTTATGCAGGAAAAAAACCCAACAGAGATGTGGGTTGATTCCATCTTTATTGTGTATCAGGGCTTAGATGATAAATATGGGTTGCTGTCAGTCGCCACTCATCTCCTGTCCTCCTCCGTGTGAAGAGCCTCTGTAGCAGACTAGATTTAGCCCCAGAGATGAGGATCAAGAAGGGAGAAAAATGGCCGCGGCCACGTTACCATCCTGCTACATCTCCATCTTAAAAGCAACACCGGACGGCACCGAACACTCACCTGCACACGACAGTCCCGTGCAGGAGACCCAGAGCTCTGCTAGGGAAATGATTCGTTCTGCCAATGCTTTTCTCATTTCCCCATGAAAGGACAGCTGGCTTCCAGATACAGACGTGGAGTTACAGAATGTCTCGAGGACTAAGCACAAGCCTGTTGCTTGCCAACAAGGTTATGAACCCATCCCTTGCTTCACTGCGGTTTTTTGCATACATTCAGAAGTAGTTCTAGAACTCTGGAAATGTGAGTACCTCTGTCACGTCTCAAGCACTCAGGCCACCCGGTGAGCCTCCTGCTGGCAGACACGGGCCTCTACAAACCAGTCTCTGCCTACAGGTCCTGAGACTGGGAGCTGTCAGAAGGTTGCAGGTTCGTGCGGAGTTTGTACATGTGATTGAGCGCTTGTGTGAGGAAAGCCCCACTGGTGTTGATCTCCATCAAGGTCAAGTTATCCAGCTAAAACACAAGGGCAAACAGACCGGGTTGGTTGAGTCTTTGATTTCACGAAAGGTTAAATCTACTGGATAAAAATAAGGAACCAATGAGTAATAATTTTCTGAAAGCCCCGCATGGCTAGTTATCCCTTCCCGCGATGCCCTAAGCAGACAAGATGCCGTGGGCTGTCCCACAGAGCAACCGGCCTCCGTGGGCGGCCCACCGCACGCCCACCTTGGCGTGTGCCTCCTGCTGTCTCACGAAGCTGTCAGCAGACACCCGGAGCTTGGCTGTGCGAGTGTCCCACACGTCCTTGATCAGGGTCCGGATCTCATCTGCTTTCGGGATGTTGTCTGAAGCACTAAAGGAAGCAAAAGGTGAAATAAGTCGCATAAGGAAGCACTCAGTGAACTAAGGCAACTTCCAGGTAGAAGTGGCTTGTGTAAATGCTGCTTGGATTTAGGCAAAAATGTACAAGCTATTCTAGACTCAAAATTGGTTTCACTTTTTCAGTTTTTTAAAATGTAAGGATTTCTAGCGGTTAAGCTTGGTGCCAAGAAAATTCAGCCGTGATCCTCACCGAGTTATCTGTGCTCATGTTACCTGTCCCTGGGCAAGCTGTGGTACAAGGACTTCTGTTATTCACCCAAAAAAATGAGATCTTGGAGAAGCAGCTCTGAGTCGGTCCTCCCCTGACTCAGGATAACTGAGTGTCCAATGCTACAGAATTTCCATCGAGAATGAATTTCTTTCAAAGGCTGGCTCAGCGGTCATGACCTCTAATGCTAATACCCCATCTGTTATCCAAGGGCTACAACCCACAAGGGAAAGAAGACGAAGGCTCTGTGCCAGGCATTTCTATCCTCACAAAATCCCTGAAGGATAGGGACTTTCCCACTCTACAGAGAAGACAAAGATACATTTGCAAAAGTCACAGAACAAATCGCAAATCAGCATCAACAGCACACGTATACACAGCAAATTCGAGGTAACAGTTTGACTGGAGTCAGCGGGGCCGCACTGAGAGCCTTCCTGTGTGACACATTTTTAAACTAAACTAACCTTTGAAGGAAGAGACAAACTAGAAGACAAAAGCAAAAGCCAGCATCACTCATCGCCAGGCATCCTAGGATAAGCTGGCAAGGCTCTCTCCACAGGCTAAAATTAGCTCAAGATGAGTAGATGGAGAATCAGTAGCATACAACTGATATAGTAGATTTTAAGACCCAAACATTTGGATCTTATGCTCTGAACAGCAGGTTAAAGAACAAAGGACCCCAGCTCCTCGTGAACTGCACTGCAGGACCGAGGTCCCTTCACTGAATGCATGGCTCTAAGGAATTATAAAACAAGGGTTTCGATAGGAACTGCGCACGTAACACACTGAACTTCAAAAACTGAAGATGAACCGGCCTCCCCTCTGCTCCCATATTCTCCCTTCTGAGGTCACACTCCCCTACGATAGCAGCCCTCTCATATCCTCCGGATGACGCCCGCCTGCCCGAACACCCTCCTGGGGACGCCGCATCTACCGCCCTGCCCTCACTCAGTCCATGCAGGTCCCAACAGCCCTGCTCCACAAATCCAGGCCCTTTCACCTTCTGTCCTTCGACCTACACTGCCCTCTCCCCTAGTAAATTTCCCCTCAGCCTCCAAGCCAGGGATCCCTTCTCTGGCAGCACCAGGCATGAGGGTCGCACCCCGACATACTCTGAACAGCATTAGCACACACTGCAGGGTTACACCACATCTGTCAACAGGGTCGCATCTCCTCCCCTCGAAACTGGAACTCAAGCCTACAGGACCATGTCCACTACCTGGTGGGACGCTTAGCATGTTGAATGCTGAGAATGTTGTGAACTACACAACTGCAGCCACATGTCAACTCAAGGACAAGTCCATGTTGTGCAGATTTTCACTTGAATTCCACAGGTGGGCCCCCAGCCCCTGCTGCTCTTTGGGAGGCAGTAGGGAGCTTCCAACTTTGGTTCTGGTTCTGCTCTTGAATCCATCAATGAAAAGGTGCTCAGGGCTTCAAAAGCTTGACATTGTGCAAATTACATTCTAAGTAGCCACACTTGCCTGCCCCCTGCACTGATGCATTCATTCATTCCACAAACATGTGAGTACCAGGCACTGTGCGGGGGCAGGCGAGACAGTCCCTGCCCATGAGACCTGGGGGCGGGGGTGGGGAAGAGCACAGGCACAGCAGTTAGAGCATTACACCTGACAAGTGCTATAGAGGAGTGCAGAGCTGCCACGAGGAATGGTACACGTAACCTGGGAGGGAGGACCTGCTATGCTAAACCCGAGGAGGGAGCACGGAACAGGTGGACTCACTGGGCAGAAGGACGGTGTACACACACACACACACGTGTGTGCCTGTGCACTCTGAGGACCTGGGCATGTGTGAAGAAGTGAAGGAGGCCAACGTGAGCCTGCACCCTAGAGAATCGGAGGGAAGGACTGCCAAGAGTGGTGCGAGACGGGAGAAGGGAACCAGGCCACGCGGTGCTTCGAATACCATGATCAGGACTTCAGACCCTAGAGAGGCTCCGAGGAGCAGGGGACTCACGTGGCAGCTGTATCTTTGCAAGGCCGCTCTGGCTGCAAGGCGGAGAATGAATTAGAAGCCCATGGGGAGCCTGAACTGGATGAGGGGAAACAGTTTTGCCCCAGTGGACCTGCCTTCTAGCCCAGGGTCGAAGGAAAATGCGACCCCTGGCCCTTTCCTGTGCAAGAGATACAAGAACGCAGATGCACAGGCCCAAAGGAGAAAAGGGGTGCAGCTCGACTCATAAAACATTTGCAGTTAAGAAAAAGGCTACTGATGGAGATGATACGCTGATACTAGAGTCCAATATCAAGTGACGGGTAGGACGCAGAATGGAAAGAACCACGGGATTCACCAGGAGAGGGAAGGGTGGAGAAAGGGAAAAAAGAGAAACAGGGGGAGACAGAGCCCGGCCAGTGTGTGCGTGCCCACAAACGACTCCCAGACTACTGACTGAGGACCTGGGGGCCAAAGCTACCACTTCCCTCGGTAATGAGTGTGGAACACGAAAGGAGGTGGGCTGGGAACTGGGGGTTCCATCGTACATGTGGGTTCGAAGAAGTGAGAGGTACTTACTGATTTAACAGGAGTTTGGTGAGCTCCATGTAGTAAAGGCTGGGCATAGGGGTAAAAGTTTCTTCCTTTCGTTCATGATCCCGAATCTCCTCCAACTTTTCTGAAATTTAGAAGTGTGTACATTTTACCATGACCATGAGCAAAATATAGTTTTAAAACCTTCCAAATTTACCAAGTACCTATATTACCTAGTCAATCAACTAAAAAGTACATTAAAAAAAACCCCACTTTTTGAAATAACGTATCAGTAACTAGACATCACTGGGCCGATTTCCTCAAGCACTTCTCTTAGAGAAGGTGGTAGATTTGGGTTATTGTTATTGCTGGGCCTGCGGAATATACGGCTGAAAACAGTATGTCAGAGTCTGAAGTTCTTTTCTTAGGTCAAGAGTGAAGTATTCTACCTTTGACGGAAGCAGTGATGACAGTAACCAGCGACCGGAAACATTTACTTTATATTAAACGCTGCTCACAACCAACACAGAGCTGAGCGCCCCACGACTGGAATCAAACTGCTGAGTCCAATTCCATCCACAGGAACAATCTCCACACGCCTCACCCCTCTCCCCTTCTGTCCTTCCTCCCGGCCTGAGAAAACCCGAGTCCTGAACCCGCCACTGCACGCTATGGCGAAAGGACACGCAGACAGAACTCTGCAGTGGGGCCTCATTTGAAATGACCGGCCACGCACCTCCAGGGGCCCTCGGTGCTACCCTGCAATCCTTACACTCCCCTGCTCCAGACACCCTCTCACTTTCCATCCTGCCCGCCCTCTCCACGCTTTCTCCCCAACACCTTGCAGGGCTCCGCACACTACCGCCACCGCATCCTTCTAAGGGGCGCGCTGGACCTTCTCTCACCTGCACGGAACACCGCTTCGGCATCTGTCCCCACTCCTGAGTGATCCCTCTTGCCCTCGCTATCGGAGCCGTCCATCAAACTCGATGCAACATCTTCCAGCTTAAAAAGAAAACCCTCCCCTGACACCAAATCCTTCTCCAGCTACCAATCCATTTCTCATGCCCTTCACAACAAAACTTCAAGAGTTCCCTGACATCGGCATTAACTGTTCGGGTGGGCGACTATCCCACCCTCTGACACGGCTCACCGAGGCCACCACCTCTGCTCAGCCAAACCCAACGGCCACATCTCAGGCCTCGTCACGTCTGACAAGGGCCAGTCCCTGGGGTGTGTTTATCACTTGGCTTCTGGGATACCACTCTCCCCAAGTTCTCCTCTCATCTCCCCGACTCCTCCAGGCCTTCCTGACCTCAACACACTGGAGGACAGAGCTCCTTCCCTCACCCCTTCTCCACCGCCTACACCCATATCCCACGTGTTCTCATCCCACTTCATTTAAACGCCACCTATGCTCTCATGACACCTTCCACACCTAGAATCCCAGCTCAGCCCCTCCCCTGACCTCCCGACTCAGATGCCCCACTGCCCACAATATTGCCACTCGGATGTCTAACAGGCACCTCCAGTGTCGCATGTTCAAACCCCCTCCCGGCTCCCACCCTGGTCCACACTGTCCCTGCGATGTGCCCAGTCTCAGGAAAGGGCAGCCCCACCAGCAACCCCAGTGGGCACCCTTACCTCCTCTCTTTGATCCCATGGTCTGTCCTTCAGCAAATCCTGCTGACCCTTTTCTTCAAAATACGCCTAGATGCCAACCACATCTGCCTGCTTCCATCAACTCACTGGGCAAGCCACCCTGAGCTCTTGCCGGGCTAAGCCCCTACCGCCCCCTCCCCACACTCATCTCCACACCGCAGACTGAGTCTCTTTCTTTTCCACATCTAAATCAGAGTATGAAACACCTCTGTTCAAACCCTGCAACGAATCAAAAAGACCAACCATACCCAGTGACGGCCCGGAGTGCAACAACAGGAGCTCATACGTTTCTGCTGGGGTTACAGGAGTGGCTCAACCACTCTGCAGGGGTCCTGGGCAGCTTCTAACAGCGAAGCACAGTCTGCCCTACGAGCTGCCAGTTCCACGACTCTAGGTGTTTATTTACCCGAGAGAAATAAAAATACATATCCGCAAAAAGACTTAGACACGAATGCTCAAAACAGCCTTCTTCACAGTAGCCTAAAATGGGAAACGACGCAAATATGCACCAACAGAAGGATGGGGGATCAAGCTGCGGAATCCTCACGCAACGGAGGAAACACTACTCAGCGGTAACAGCGATAACAGCATGACGTAATGACACGTGCAACAACAAGGGCGAATCTCAAAGACACTGTGGTGAATAAGAGAAGTCAGAAGAAAACTGACATGCCAGACGATTCCATTCCCATGCCGTCCAAGAACAGGTGGACCCAATCTACAGGGGCAGGAGCAGCAGCTGGCTCCTGGGCAGGACCCACGGGCTGACTAGTGATTTCCACGCCTCGTCACCGCACGACTGCCCAGGCGTACGAGAGGCCTCAGGCGGACTGTCTCCGCACCTTCTCTCTGACTCTGGCCCTCCCACGACACAGGCTCTTGCCCTCTATCACCTGGGTTAGAATAGGCCAAAAGTGACAGAAAGGGATGCAGTGCCAACAGAACCAGGGCCTGGTGGGCGGGCGGGGAGGTCCCTGCTTAATAAAACGCCCTTCAGAGCAGAAGGGACTGGAGTTTCCTGTCATGTTTCAGGACCACCAGATTCACACACCCCTTTGGGACAGGAAGTAAAGACAAAACGCGCGAGCAATCTTTCTTAAACTGTATTTGAGTGCACCTGGCTCCAAGTGTCCTAGCTTCTAGGAGGCAGGTACCCCCGGGTGATTTCCAAAGCGAAGGGGATAATCAAAATCTCTCAGAGGCTTTTCAAATTTCATATGCCCCCCAACCCCGACCCCAAATAAATGTGACATTCATTCTTTACTAGTAATGAGCCATTCACAGCTCCGAGGTGAGAAAAAGACTGCAACGGTTCAGGAGGAAGACCGTGTGCCTCTTTGATGCGGTATTTTCTTCTCGGTTTTTTGCCAACAGCTTTACTGACGCATAATCAACACACCACGCCATTCGCCCATTCAATGGTTTTCCAGTATATTCACAGAGTTGCGCACCCATCACCTCAACCAACCTCAGAACATTTTCATCACCCCAAAAGGATCCCCATAATGGTTCCATCACCTGCTCAAACCCTCATCCTTAGGCAACCACTAATCTTCTCTGTCTCTGTGGATCTGCCTGCTCTGAACAATTCACATAAATAGAAGAATACAATAGTTGGTCTTTGTGTCTGGTTCTTCTCCCTCTTAATGTAACATTTTACAGGTTCATCGGGACTTCCCTGGTGGCGCAGTGGTTAAGAATCTGCCTGCCAATGCAGGAGACACGGGTTTGAGCCCTGGTCTGGGAAGATCCCACATGCCACGGAGCAACTAAGCCCGTGCGCCACAACTACTGAGCCTCCGCTCTAGAGGCCTGTGAGGCCGTCGTGCCTAGAGCCCGTGCTCTGCAACAAGAGAAGCCACTGCAATGAGAAGCCCACGCACCACAACAAAGAGTAGCCCCCGCTCACCATAACTAGAGAAAGCCCACACGTGCAGCAATGAAGACCCAACGCAGCCAAAAATATAAATAATAAATAAAGGTTCATCTATGTTTGCACCCTGTGTCACAACCTCATCCACTTAGGTGGCCAAAAACAATATTGCCTTGGATGGACGATGCCTTATTGTCATGCATTCTCTCTAATGTAAGGTAACGACTCTGCTCCTCATGCTGGTCTATGGGTTTAAAAAAAAATTTTTTTTGATATATTTACTTTTATTTATTTATCTTTGGCTGCACTGGGTCTTCGTTGCTGCACGCAGGCTTTCTCTAGTTGCGGCGAGCGGGGGCTGCTCTTCATTGTGCGGCACGGTCTTCTCATTGCACTGGCTTCTCTTGTTGTGGAGCGTGGGCTCTAGGCATGCGGGCTTCAATAGTGGTGGCACACGGGCTCAGTAGTCATGGCTTGCAGGTTCTAGAGGGCAGGCTCAGTAGTTGTGGCGCATGGGCTTAGTTGCTCTGTGGCATGTGGGATCTTCCCGGATCAGGGCTCAAACCTGTGTCCCCTGCACTGGCAGGTGGATTCTTAACCGCTGCACCACCAAGGATGTCCCTAGACTTTAAAATAAAGACTGTTACAAGAGACAAAGAAGGACACTACATAATGATCAAAGGATCAATGAAAGAAGAAGATATAACAATTGTAAATGTACATGCACCCAACATAGGAGCACCTCAATATATAAGGCAGATACTAACATCCATAAAGGGAGAAATTGACAGTAACACAATAATAGTAGGGGGATTTAACACCCCACTTTCATCACAGACAGATCATCCAGACAGAAGATCAATAAGGAAACACGAGCCTTAAATGACAAATAAGACCAGATGGACTTAATTGATATTTACAGAGCATTCCACGCAAAAGCCACAGAATACACATTCTTTTCCAGTGCACACGGAACATTCTCCAGGATTGATCACATGCTAGGCTACAAAGCAAGGCTCAGTAAATTTAAGAAAACTGAAATCATATCAGGCATCTTCTCCGACCACAACACTATGAGATTAGAATCAGCTAGAAGAAAAAAACTGTGAAAACACAAATATGTGGAGGCTAAACAATATGTTACTAAACAACCAATGGATCACTGATGAAACCAAAGAGGAAATTAAAAAATACCTAGAGACAAATGAAAACAAAATCATGACCATCCAAAATGTACAGGATACAGAAAAAGCAGTTCTAAGAGGGAAGTGTATAGCAATACAATCTTACCTCAGAAAATAAGAAAAATCTCAAATAAACAACCTAACCTTAGACCTAAAGCAACTAGAGAAAGAAGAAAAAAACAAAATCCAAAGACAGTACACTGAAATAATAAATATCAGAGCAGAAATAAATGAAATAGAGACAAAGAAAAAATAGAAAATAACAATAAAACTAAAAGCTGGTTTTTTGAAAGGATAAACAAAATTGATAAATCTTTAGCCAGACACGTCAAGAAAAAAAGGGAGGGGGCTAAAATAAATAAAATTACACATGAAACAGGAGAAGTTACAACAGAAATACAAAGGACCGTAAGAGCCTACTACAAG